AAGAGGCAATACAAAGGAAACAAAAGACCAGAACATCTCACCAGCAATCATCACCCAGATAAGCAGAGATTAACACCAAGATTATCACCAGGCAGCCAATCATGCAGTAAACAATACCCTAATCAAAGAACTACCAGGAGGAAAAACAGAAACAAACACACACACACACACACACACACACAAACACATATCAACCCTGGCAGGGCAAACCACTGTATATAAACAGAGAGCAAACCCCACTCCATTCTAGTACTGAAGATGTTACCTAGCCAGGTAACAAAACATTTGCAAGAAGACAACTGAGCTCAGAGAACCCCAAGGACTCCACAGAAGTAACCAAAAGTAAGATAGTAGGTTCTGTATACTCAGAGAATACCTACAGTATATACTTATACTATAGGTAAGTATAAAAATGTGTAAAGCTAAAGAAAATGTCAAGTAATTATTTTTAAAAAATATGATGAACATATATGCCCAGTCCCAAAGCATCCAAGCTTCTTCTTGTTGTTAAAAAAAAAAATCTACCAGAAGTTTGACAACAATTTACTTTCAGTTTTCTTCTGTCCTTAAAATTTCAGCAGCCAAACTTAAATGGGGAAAAATGTGCTGCTTTTGTTGTTGAAGAATTGGGATCCAGAAAGCTTTGCCAATATATGAAAATTACCCAGAGATCAACCAGAAGATTTAGATCTGTCTTCTGCCTAGCCCTCTTCCAGGTTGCTTCCTAAACTTATTAAATATTCTGGAATTGAGCAATACCACATTTACATATTAATATTAGGACTGTGTAAAGAAAAACTTCCTGATAGCAATGGAAAAGTCCTTCGTATAAAGCAATGGAAAAGTCTACCTCTGGAGATTGTGGGGTCTCAATATCTATAGATTTTTAAGAATGGCTAGATAGCCACCTCTTGAGGATAGTTTAATTGGTTTTCCTGCATATTGCAGAGGATTGTACTAGATCAATGTTTCTCAACCTTGGCAACTTTAAGACATGTGGACTTCAACTCCCAGAATTCCCCAGCCAGCTAGATGATCTTTGTGATTCCTTTCACCTCTAGAATTCTATCACTCTGTGAAATACTCTGGCAGAAGAAATGTCCTCTTCCATCTGGCAGTGTTTCAATCCTACTTCCAAAGTGTTCCTAAGAGATTCATATTATATTCAAGAGGGAGAGATATAATTGGGAGAACTGTGCAAATTACAGTTTTTACTATGCTATGTATCATGATGCTAGAGACTCAGGGGTAGGGGCAGAGAATGATGAGCAAAGATAATCTTATCCTGTGAAGCCACTAAAAGCAAAATATCTCTTTTTATCTGCCCTGGACCACAGCCAAGTCCAAGCTTCATTAAAAACAAGATCTCACATCTGAGGTTTTCTTTCAAATTTGTAGTACCAAGAATGGGACTCATAAATCTGTGATATCACAGAAACAGTTTGATGAGTCCTTCTATTTCCCCAGAAACCTTCACATTTTGAAAACAATTTTTTTCTTTTAAGTATAAGCAGAGAATCTGCTCTTGGTCTATATATGTTGTGCCCTTTTGTTTTAATTCAGCATTCCATTCTGCTTATCTCTCAATAAAATATTACATTTAAAATATTAAGTTATTAAAATGACAACATTAATGTAACTTCATCTTGCTGGTCAGCTCATTAGTGAAACAGAAAGGTGGTCTCTAACAAGATGTATGTATATTCATATATCCAAACATACTTTTATGACTTCCCTTAACTAAGACTATCTTATGGGTCAGGATGGAGAACTTCAAGCCTGAAGCTTCAGGTGACCCACTGATCCTTTGAATCTAGCCTGTCATCTTTGTCTTTGGCCATGTCATCATGTGTTAGTTAGCCTAGGGGAAAAAAGTCTTATTTTGCATGAATGGATTGTTTCTTCCAGGGCAGATAATTGCGTGGGGTAGAGTAGAGAGCAGATCAGAACATGAGACCAAGCTGAATATTGTTTAGTAATGAGCTAACTGAATAATGACTATAGTTATATACTGACTGTCTTCCGTGTTGGGAGTGAGGAGGGAGAAACCCAGCTAAGGGCTCACGGCATGTTCAGCAGAATTGGGCTTCCCAAAAGTGAGATCCCCCTAAGCAGCGGAAAGGTTGAAGCAGGCTATGGTCTTAAAAATGAAGAGGGTTTGGCTGTCTGCTTCTGTTGCTCTGCCCCAAGAGAGAGCCCATGTTTGCCTTGTACTGATGAGGGTTCTGGTGGACGAAGCCTGTCCATGGATTAGCACAGTTCTATGTTATTCAACAGGTAGATCAGACTGATGGGGTCATTTTCCTAAGCAGGATTTTAAGGCATAGTGACTTGTACATCCAATTTTTTTTTTTAGATAATCTTTAATTTTTAGTTGAGGTTCTGCAGGTATTCTATTTTCCATATACACTTTTAATGTCTCATTTTGCAGAATCCATCTGCAATGTTAATCTAGAGGGAAGGGGGGAGGAACTCCAAATTAAAGGTGGCATTGGAGCCCTAAATTTCTTGAATGAGCTCCAAAGTTGGGCATTGCAGGATTTTCAGGCAGATTGACCTAAGTTTCATTAAGGTAAAGATTTAGCTAAAGATTTTTTTCCAATTTCATTCTCTACATATCCTTCCTTCTTGGGGAGTAAAAGAGAATACTTAACATGGGCCTGGAATTTCAAGAACCGTTCCCTAATCAGAAGCATGCATGAAAAAATGGCAGCAACTTTGTAAATTATACTCAAGGGTGTTGTGTATCTATATAGGATTTTCAAATCTTTCAAGAATTTATGATGTTTGCTAGAGCTAGTCAGATGCAGAGTGAGAATCAGAGCAAGCTACTTTCTGGCCCAGGCCTTTCTCTAATAAGTCAATGAGCTTGTGCAGGATTGGCTGCTGGTATTTATGACACACTGGTTGAAGGAGCCACTGTGACATGCATCTAACAGCAGGAGGGAGGGACAAATTCAATATTTCATCCCAGTGAAAGGATGGGTTTTCTGTAGGATTGCAGCACTAGAGGAAATACTTTTTCTGTACTTGTTTGAATCTTGATAATTAACATTGGCACTCCAGTTAAGGGTCTTTACATTAAAAAAAAACCATTGCCAAGGAATGCTATATGCAATGCTAAGGGTAGTGTGTATCTTTCTGTCTTACTAAAATGCATTATATGAACATGTTTATTCACCAAAGCCATGTTGAGCAGTGGAGGTCAATATCTCTGGACCCATCTCTTTCTGACAGTGGCATATAGAAGATTGTGATTTGGAATGTAAAAGGAGTAAATGGTAATGAGTATGAATTAACAAATGAAATGAAAGAAAGAAAACCAAATATGCTGTGTGTCTATGAAACAAAGAGAAAGAAAAAGAATATAATACAGTAGATCTGAATGAAGGTAGTCTGATCTTATGGAGTTGATGAATACATGTAGAGAGGTATACATTTAATTATGAATGAAAGGAGTAAAAGGCATATCAGAAAATAAAAATTGGTGTCTTCTAAATTGTTGTGGGTGCATATGAAAATAGGAATTCATAGCCTGGTGATACTTCTATGTCATGCTGCAGTGAATGACAATAATGGAAGATCCAGAAATAAGTCTTGGAAGAAACTGTGCAATTCTGAATGAGAACAATCCAGGGGAAATTTTGCTCTGTTAGATTATATGAATGGATGAATGGGAATAAGATGAGAGAATATAGAACAAGTGATTGGGCTATGTAGAAAGTCGAGAATGAATGAGAATAATGACTGTTTGGTAAGTATCTGCTTAGAAAAGGATTAGAGGTTAGATTAACCTGCCAACTAATAAAGAAAGTAGAATGTAAGGAAGGAGGATGTGGAAGCTGCTGTGAACAGAATGAAAAATGTCACAGAAGTGTGTGGAGTCACATTAATTTGAAGTATGAAAAAAGATTCTTGATGACATAATGAAAAACTCTGGATGAGAAAAAACGCATTAAAAGAATGCTGCAAAAAATAAGGATGAGAGAAAGATATTGTATCATGTGTGTAAAGAGAAAAAGATAGTTGCAAAGACTGTAATTAAAAACTTGAGGAATGGTTAAGGCTAAAGGGTACAAAAATGCAAAGTGATTTTGATAGAAATAAAAGTTGTTTTGGAAGTGAGCACAGAGGCAAAACAAGGAACCTCCAGCAGAACAACAGAATTAAAAATAAATGTGATGAAATTATTTGGGATGAAACAAAGATGAGAAAATGCTAGAAGAATTATTTTAGGGATCTGTAGGGGAAAATTATAGTGATATGTCAAAGAGTAAAATAGCTATAAATATTAGTCTCCAAGAAAACAATTGATAAATAGAAGTCATAAATCCTTTGTGAATGCCAAAAAATGGTAAAGTAGTGGGTGTATAATGGTGTAACTGGAGAAAGGTTAAAATATAAATGTGGCTTGCTTATTGAATGGCTGTGTAACTTGCTTAACATGTGCGTGAAGACTGAATTACAACTGGAGGAATGTTATGTTCTAAACAAAGGGAAAGGTAACAAGAATGAATAAAAAAAAATTATAAGGGGATTAGTTTGTTAAGTATGCCTAGG